GACGGATGGATGCATGGATGGATGGAGGGATGGAGGATGGATGGACAGACGGATGGATGGAGGGATGGAGGGATGGAGGGAGGGAGGGATGGAGGGAGGGAGGGATGGATGGATGGACAGACGGATGGATGCATGGATGGATGGAGGGATGGATGGAGGGATGGAGGAGGGATGGACGGAGGGATGGATGGATGGAGGATGGATGGATGCATGGATGGAAGATGCATGGATGGATGGATGGATGGTTGGAAGGATGGATGGATGCATGGACGGATGGATGGCAGCACAGACAGGCAGGTGCCTGGTGAGGCCCCCAAGGAAGGCAGCCTCTCGCTGTGAGCGCCAGATTGGCCAGGCTGGCCGCAGAGCAAATTCTGCTGGCCATACTTACAAGTACGCCTGTTTGGACAAGAGACTGGATGGCTTTTCATTGACATGGTAGAGAGGAAATGGATCAAATCCACCAATGAAGCCAACTGAAAGAAATCAAGACCCAAATAAAACAAACCCCACACAATGGAAAAGATGGCAGAGTGGAGAATGAACCCAATCAAACAGTGAAGCCATGGGGTCCCCGGGGGCACAGACGGCGCCCGAAGCCCTGACGAAATCGCAGAGGGGACGCGGCCTGGGGACGGGGGTGGGTAGGATGGCCAGGGTCCTCCGGCCTGTGCGGGCCTGCACCATGTTCCGCCTGCCCTCCCCACCACCTTCTGTCACGTTCAGACACCGTCACTCCCTTGATGCTGTGTCTACACAGCCAGCATGCAGCAGGGGCTTGTTGGGCTGAGTCAATGCATTTTGAACCCCGGGTTCAAATGGGGTTCCCATCTTAAAATGTTTTAATGGAACCAGTGTGCAGAAGCCATCTGCTTCCTCCCAGGAAGCTGGCTGAGCTCTGAGTGATGGTTTAGGATCCTCAGGTCAGCAGCTGAGGGATGCTGGGCGCTGGGGCCGTGGCTCTGAGCGCGTCCTCAGCCTCTGGAATCAGGCCTGGTCTGAGGGTAGGGGGCCCTCTGACACGTGGACTGCTGACCCCATGGCCCCAGAGTCCTGGGGACAGATGGCTCTGAACTGGATTCTGACCCCAGGGGCAGTTCAGTCCACAGGAACCATGGGCCCCTGGGCACATCCAGACCCTCCTTGGCATCTGCCCTTCCCCACCTGGCTCAATCCTCCTCCACAGGGTCTTCCTGTGAGATGCATCAGGATGAGGGGAGCAGCAAGGGCGCCTGAGTGTGGCCCATTTCGTGCTGCAGATCAAAGGCAAGTTGACAGGGGCTTGCGAGCAGAAGGCAAATGGAAATCTTGCCTAGGAGGGTCCAGGCTGCAACCGAGGGCCTGGTGTGAATGTCCCAGTCCACGGGGCTGGGTTCCGAGCTGCCTGGGGGCTGCGGCGGCCTGGACCTTGGCAGGTCTGAGCTCAGGACTTCCACCTGTGGCTACTGAGGGGATGGTGAGGGCAGGCCCGGCCCGAAGCACAGGAGCCACCTTGGACTTGGAGGCAGCTGACCAGGACCTCTGCTCATCTCTTCCCTGGGGTGCAGTGAGTCCTCTCCCACTCAGGCCTGCAGCCATCAGCAAGGCCCTGCTGGACGTGGGTTTCCCCCCAGGGGAGGTCTCTCTCCCTGCCCCAGACCGGACAAGCTCAGAGCTGCCCCCGCTGCCTGCGGACGTCCACACTGGCAGCTGTCCTCTTCCTCCGAGAACATAGTGACCAGGCAGCCGCCACAGACACCATCCTGGCCCCAGGCCCACCCTGAAGTTCTCCACCCTCCCTGCTGCATGGAAGCCTTCGATCGCAGGCCCCATGCCCCACCCCCAGAGTGCTCTTGTTGCCACCATTTCCCTCCCCAGCACAGCTGGGCAGGGGCCAACCAAGCCGCCAGGCTCCCCCAGGCCCTCCAAATTAAGCAGGGGGCTGGGCTCCTAGGGAGGACTAGCTGGCTGGAATTTAGAAACCACATCCTATTAAAGAAATTCGCATCCCTGGGAGTCAGGATGAAAGCCAACAGGAGGCCCCGTCTCCCCAAACATGCAGAGCGCTCACTCCTCCAGCCTCTGCTCCCACGGAGCACGCCAGGCCCCTCGGAGGGAATCTTCACTTACACTCTAGCTTCCTTTCTGTTCCTTCTCCCAAACCCTAATCTCAGAAGCGTTGATGTGCATCCTTGGGAAATCGGCTGTTTCTCCTCCAGAGGCAGGCACCTGTGTTCCACACATTTTGGGGGCAATTGGGGCCCCCTCTGTGCCTGACTGAGGGGCTGTGGTGGGAGACACAGGCCCGGACTCTAGCTGGCAGGTTGCATCTGTGCCCTTGCTATGGGGCAGCACCTCCCTGGACTGATTTCCTGTGAGACCCAGAGCAGAGCCCGGGAAGGAGCCCTGGGAGCTCACGAGGCCATCCGCACCACTGCGTGTCCTCACGGGGTCACCCGCACCATCCAGTGTCCACATGGGGCCACCAGCATCGTCACATGTTCTCACAGGGTCACCAGCATCATCGTGTGTTCTCATGCCACAGGCTCCTTGGGTTTGGAATTGAGCTTCCACTGCCAGCTGTTGGAGCCTCGCTCCCCGAAGCCCCACGTCCACCTGGGTGTGCACAGAGAAAGTCGGAGAGCCTCGAGATGGGCCGGAAGTTCCTCCAGTGATGGCACCAGCCACGCTGCAGTCACCTCGGCCCTGCCCCAGGAGCTCCTGAGGCCAAAGGCAGACCGAGCGCCTTCTACACGCTGCCCCAGCTTTTGCCTCCTCCTTCTGAACTCCTCGAGGAAGGCACCGTCTGCATTTTACAGAGCGGGAGCTGAGGCACAGGGAGGTTGCTGGGCTCACTGTGGCGGCACGGCGGGGACGTGGCTGTGTGGCCAGACCAGGAGCAGCCTTGTGGCCACTGTTCTCCACCGAGCCGAGCAGGGCCAGGGAGGATGGCAGAGCCCCGTTCTCTCACGGGCGACAGCCGCTCCTCAGCTCCAGCTGGGGCGGGAGAACCCCTGCCAGGTTGGACGTGGGTCGTGTGGCGCCAGCCTTGCCGAGGGCACATGCTAGGGTTCCGGGCAAGTGTGAGGGGCTTCTTGCCAGCTCAGCCTCAGGCTCTGTCCACTTCCCGTGACTGGCACAGGCTTGGGGCAGCCGAGGGAACAGGCAGGACATGCATGGATGGGTTTGTCCGGAAGATGTGTGCCCCTCCTCGGGGCCGTCAAAGCCCACGGCAGGGTCTCGCCCTGATCTGAACCCTTCCCACTCCCCACAGCAAACACCTCGCTCAGGCAGAGAAGGGGACGGGGCCGGCCCCACTTGGGGGAGGTGGTTTGCAGAGGGAGGCACTGAGGTCCCAGCGGTGCAAGCCCACGTGGGAGCCTACCCGTGACACCTTAACCTCTCCCGCAAGGGTGGGGGATAAGGAAGGGATCCTGCCCTGGCAGAGACAGGCCTGAGGCCTGGTCAGCTGGCCCCACCCCAGGGAGATGAGCCCAACTCCATGTCCCTTCCCCCATCAACCCATCCCTACCCTGGGCCCCCTCCTCGACGCTTACCGCGATCAGGGTCTGCAGGCCGCTGTGCAGGACTTCCACGTAGCTGGGCTCCAGGCACAGTCCACACCCGACACCAGGGCCTGGCCATGGGGTCCCCCGAGGCCAGCAGCCAGCCACTCCTCGTGCAGACAGCCCAGCCAGTGCTCATGCCAGCAGGAGCGATGCTGGGAGAGGCTGAAGGTCAGTAGCTCTCTGTCCTTGGGTGAGGAGCAGGGCCGGTTAGCACCAGGACGTGGCTGGCCTCACCCACTGCAGCCTGCAGGGACGTCACCACAGAGGCCAAAGGTCCTGTCCTCCGCCTTCCCGCACTCTGCCCCCCGGGCTCCAGCCTTGGTGGGGAAGGAATACCAAGGCCCTCCCAGACGCTCCTGTGCCTGCTCTCGACCCGCACGCCTCCTCCTCCAGGAAGGCCTCCCTGCCCAGACCCCAGGACTGCTCTCAGGTCGGCCCCTTCCTCGTGTCTCTGGCTAAAGCTGCCATTTGACCTGTGTCTGACTCAGGACAGTCTCCTGGGTTGCAGCCAGGTGTGGCTCTAGGAAGCAGGGGCTCGTCTGCCAAGCTGGGCACCTGCCCTAGTGCCCACCTGTGCCGCACCAGCCAGAGCAAAGAGCCCCCAGGGGAGACCAAACTCCACCCCTCCCCAGCTTTAGGACCAACCTCTGAGCTGCAAGGAAAGTGCCTGAAACAGCCGCGGTCAGGGGCAGGGTGGGCTCAGCGATGACCCCCCAGCCCCCGTTTCCTCAGATCCCTGCAGTGCAGGAGGCACCAGGCTTTACCAGCCTGGAGGGTTGCTCCTGCCGGCCGTGACCAAGCACCCCACGTGGCGTGAGGAGGGTGGTGTCCACTTGCCCGCACATCTCTGCCAGGGCTAGTCTCTGCTCTGAGGCCCCTCTCCCCCAGCTGGAGCCCCCTCACCTGCCAACACCCACGGACACCCTCATTCACCAATCAAACTACTGGTTTCTCCCAGACCTTTACTGAGTCAGCAGCTACCCACCAGGGCTGCTCTGGGTACTGGGGACAGAGCCACACACAGACGGAGCCCCTGGCTCTCACCACAGACACAGGGAGTGTTAGGTGGAGCCCGGCCAGGACCCCAGGAAGGACCCTGCACTGCCTTCCCGCCTGCACTTACCTGTGAGAGGCCCCGGACTTCCAGGTAGAAGCAGATGAGGAAGATGTTCCAGGTGACCCAGACGACTGCCACACTGGGTGCCAGGTAGAGGGGAGGGCGGGGCTGCCACACTGGGTGCCGGGAGAGGGGTAAGGTCTGTAATTGCACAGGAAGGGTGGCCTGTGCTCTCCAGATGCACAGCGTGGAGAAAGGGGTCGCCCGAGTTCATGCAGGGCAGGTCTCACAGCTTTCCCACGTGGGCGCCCCAGGAATGAGGCGGGGGGACAGCCAGCTGGAGGGAGCACCAGCGCAGTTTGGCGTAGGGACACAGCCTCCTGGCTGAGCTGCTCAGCCTGTCCTCGCCTCACCAGGCAGACACTGCACACGAACAGGGCAGACCTCTGCTGCAGAGCACCCCAAAAACCATCCCAGGAGAGTGCCCCAAAGAGCCGACAGCAGCTTTTGTAAATAAAGTTTTGCAGACACAGCTGCACGCATTTGTGTGTACGCGGCCAGCGGCGGCTTTTGCTCTGGACTGCAGGGCCACGGCACCTGCGGTGTTCACCACCTGCTCTCTGCAGGAAAAGGTGGCTCCAAACCACTGGTCCACACCGGTGATCTGGTTCTTCGCAGAAGGAAAACGCTGACTGGGCAGAGATGCTTTTCTGAACATTCTTTCAGCTTCTCCAGAGGCCACAGCAAAGACAGCATGGGCGGGGGCTGCCGGGGTCCAAGCCCCACCCCGAGCTCGGGGCGGTGACTGTGCTGTTTTCCCGTCTGTAAAGCGGGGATCATGGCAGTGCCCACATCCCTGGCTACCGAGGAGATGAATTAGCGAAGCCGTTCAGGGCCTGGGGCTCCCGTATATGCAGCTGCTCCTCGAAGCCTCGGAGAAGCCCCTCTGTCCGAACCGGAATCCTAGATGTCCAGGCAGCAAAGAGGTCTGAACCCAGGGGTCGGGGTTGGGATTTGTGGGGTGTTCAGTGGCTTCCAGGAAAACAGGGCAGGACGGTGCGAGGCGCCGCGGGGGCTGCCATCCCGGTCACCCCAACCCACCCACTCGTAAAGGGGCCGGGCCCAGGACCCAGCACAGTGTGGCGTGGCCGGTACCCGACGGTGCCGAAGAGTCCCAGGAGAACGACGACGGTGGCGAGGCTGGCCAGGACGGGCGCCCGCCAGTACCCCAGGGAGCCCAACACCCGCCTCTCCAGGGCACTGACCTAGGAGCAGGGCGCCCGCCAGTACCCCAGGAAGCCCAACACCCGCCTCTCCAGGGCACTGACC